TCAAAGAGAAAACAATCTCCCAGTGAAAATCTGTTTTTTTAGAAAAGAGGTCTGCCCTGGATGAAGGTCCTTGGGGCTGGGAGAAGCTTTTTGATGTCCATAGGGTATGGGGCGTCCAGAGGCTGTTGCTGCCCAGCAGTTTTAGCACCTTCTGAAACCTTCCTGTAGAGGTGTTTTCCAACTTCAATAATTTTATGATGGCTCTGAGCCAGGCTGAGATTTTCTCACGCCTCAGGAGTCCCTGCCTGGTGTGTCCCCACCACAGGGGAAGACAAGATCAGTGTCCACATCTCAGTTTCTCTTTTTCTGAGACAGAGGAGTAGGTGACGTCTTTGCAGGCATTAAGATATATCTCTTTTGTTCATCTGAAGCCCTCTGTTTTGTCATAGAGATCGTTATAGCAGAGATTCCTCTCCTAGCATGGCATGCATAGGCCAATGCCTGTCTTAAACTTATGAAGAAAAAGGCAGAGAAAGAAAAATGAGAGATCCAAGCAGACAAGTGGGAAGAAGTTGAAGTGCTAAACTGAATGTAAACTGCACAAGAACAGCCTCCTCTCTCTAAAGCCATCTTCCTCCTATATATTCCCCTTCAGTAATGCACAGGCTGGTCACTTAGATGAGCAGTGTGTAGAGCATCCTTCCAGAAACAGGCTCAAAAAGGAATAAAGCCATGAAGTGAGGGGAAATTAAAGTGGTCACACTGATTTTCAAGGCAGTTTACCTAAACTGTRGATCCTGTGACAGCTCCAGAATCAGACACAAATGGAACAAACAACCTGTTAGGATCCATACATGCAGYAGAAGAAGAGTATTTTAAGGGGGTCCCAGAGGTCCCTAATGCAGTTTCACTGAAAGATATACAGTGCTGGATACAACAAGAAATCCTTGCTTAGTAAGGGTGAAATTCTMAGGCACTGGGCTGTACAACACCCAATCTCTGAAAAAAATCAAAGGTCCTCTTTGAGTGATGGAGAAAGCAATGGATAACCATGGGTCACAAGGAGAAAGGCTGGAAAAACCAGAACCTTGCAAGTGGGAAAGAACATCTTGAGATTGCCCTGCCTCCAACAGCTGCTGCATCAAACTGGCACCTGCACGGCCTCACTTCTGTGAAAGCACCAGGACTTACCCCATCTTCATGGACTGCTCTATTCTCCCATATTTCAAAACATTTTAGCACTAATGTAGCCTGCTTCACACACARTCTAGAAACACATGGTACAGAAAATCCTGCCAGTTCTCATGGACATGGGCCAGCTTGTTCTTACTTATGCAATGAGGTGGGAACCAATATCCGTGCCTACTTYGTTGTTAAATTACGATCACGGTGTTTCCATCAAGCACATTCAGGTGGATTGTCAATGCTTCCAGTATGAAGTGAGCTGCGTTGTGGGGCTGGCTGAAGAGCTCTAGCACTGCCAKGGAGTGAATGAATTGTGCTGTCTGTTTGTCCTGAAGGTTCAGCACTCTGTGCTGAGTGGGAAGTCCAGCATCGAGGATCATCACTGAGTGGGACAAGCAAGGAAGGGTGAGTGGACTTGTGATGTGAGAGCAAGCAATGTTTCTCTTTCCTGGTGTGAAAGTGATCAGGCCACAGAAGAAGACACTGGAAGAAGACATCARGAAAAACCTTAAAATGCAAGAGAACTGGTGACCTCTGTTGTAAATTCCTGCCGCCTTCTGCCTGCTTTTAGAGATAGTTGGTTGTGGGACTCATTTCAATATGCATGACGCACAGCATGGCTGGCATGTTGCTGTCAGGGCTTTTTTCTTTTAGATTCCTTGGCTCTTGCGAAATACCATTTCATCATGGAAAGCTTGGTTCAACCCAGGACAGCTCTGGTGACAGTACTGTTGTGTGAAACACGGAGGACTTGCAGTTCTGAAGGTCTCTCTCATGTGCTGTCCCCTCTCACTGAGTGCTACCAGTTTTTGTTAATAAGCTTAAATGGTTTCAGATTAGTTACAGCTCTTCTGAAATTACTGAGAGCTCCATTACCTACAGAAGCTAAAGTAAGTCCTGAGGACATCCTGTGTCCCATTTGCTAGGGCAGGGCATGAGGCCCTCAGGGGGTGTCACTACCCTCTTCAAGCTGGAATCTGAAAGATTCCCTGAATTCTTCAGGATYTGATGCCTTTCTGTTATAAGCAATCTTGCTATTACTATGCTATGGTTTCCCCTTCATGAAGGGATCAGAATGTCCCTATTTTCCTTTATTTCTACATTAGCATATGTCATCTTTATCTAAGAGGAAGGGAAAAAATACTCCAAGCCACCTTATCTATGGAAAATGAAACTGTGAATAGCATCTCTTCATTTGTGGTCTTTGCATCTCTTCTATCTTGATCACTGCACACAGCAAACGTAAAACAAGGTGGTTTGTTATCTGGGTGTTTTTCCTCTGCAGGGAATTGTTTTTTCGACATCAGAAAACCCAAAATGTATAGAGATTCTTAGAAACTTTACACTAGGATGTAAATTGTCTCATGAGAATTCAGAAGGTCTGGAAGTTTATGCAAACCAAATCAAAATGTCAATCTGGAAATTGGATATTTTGCACAGCATTTTTGGTAATTCAACTTAACAACAAAAGAAAGGCATTAAAATAAAATATATATCCCAAAGTATTTTTAAAACTTTGATTTAAAAWATCATAAATCAAAAATGTGCAGGACATTACAGTCTCCAAAGGAGCCAGAACAAACTGCCTGTAAGACACCACAGAAATACACTGGAGAGTTTCGTATATTGACCTTTTCCAAATGTTTATTCCAGGTTGGAATCTTAATATCCCATCACTTGAAAACTGGTGCTGGCAGTGCCCCTGGTGATGGAGCTCTCTACTCCCTCTTTACTCTGGCTCCTCCACTGCAGCCTGCCCAGAGCATCCTTCAGTGTGTAGGGAAGTGGTAGGATATGGGGATATGGGGATATGGGGATATGGGGAYATGGGGATATGGGGATATGGGGATATGCCATCTGCTGCTGTGTGGCTCTGCCCCAGGCTGACCACAGAGAGTTTCCCCACTCAGGTGTCCCAATGGCAACTTAGGGGATGTTTCTATGGCCTATTGTACCCAGTACCTTTAAGGTTGGTGATATTTTATTTCATTTTTTTGACCAATGGATRAAAAACTTTTATTTACCGTCCACATTTTGGTCTGTGCTGCTGAAAGAGAGATTAAGGGA